CCTTTTGCTCCCTGGTTCCCCACCCTTGAGTCTTTTGTGGTAGTAGCTCTCACAGGGTCACCACGAGGTAGAATCCACTTGGTGATACAGCAGGGCAGGATGTCACAGGGAACATTTCCCGACACAACCTGTCCTCCTGTGTAAGGTTCAGATATGCTTGTGAGCCTCTTCCTTTCCTTCTGTCCCCCACCTCCCCGCCACACTTGGTGTTGATTGATTTGTCTAAGAAGAATGATTGATTGGGGCCCTGGTGGCACGGTGGATTAATCATAGGGTTGCTAACCACAGGATCACTGGTACAAACCTTCAGTCTGCTCCACAGGAGAAAGATGAGGTGTCTGTTCCCATAAAGATTTACAATCTGGGAATGGGTCTGGCTCGGGGTGGGCATTTCAGACAGGTGAGGAGTAGACATGGTTAATCCCTGGTCACACTTCTGGATGTAGATTTACAGACCATGATGAAGACAGTGAAGGCCCCTGTGCTGGGCTGGGGACGGGGGCGGCGGTGTGGTTGGACACAGAATAAGGAAAGCCCTGTCTCAGGTGAGACCCACTCGAATGATTTTTCAGCTCTGACCTCTCTGTAGTAAGGGGGATGAACCACTCCCCTGGGGTTGTGTTGAGGATTAATGCACCGCTTTTTGCCTTTATTTTATTATTACAGTAGAGCCTCTGGCGCAATTACTGGTTTGCCATGCTGTTCAATATGAGCACATCTTCTCTTTTTGAGTGGTAACAACATCATTCCGTCCCCTTCTCTGTTCGTCACAGATCTGTGGCCCAGTTTGTTCCCTGACATTTGAACACATTAGTCTTGGGCCTCTAGGAATCGTGTTCTGTTATATCCTCATTAACAGATGCTGATAACTGGATCTGAATTCAATTCCAAGCCCTCTGGAGGGGGAGTGGTTTACTGTAGATACTGGGTCCCCTCTTTCCAGAGACCTCCTTGTGCCCTGTGGGGGCAGGGAGTACGGTGCAGCATCCTGATGTCCCTGATGAATGGACCAGGATGTCGTAACTGCTTTCTCTTTTCCTGGTTGTATGGCCTGGTCTCTAGTCTTCCTTTTCTCATCTTCCATCTTCCGTGTGGAAGCTGTCAGTAAATACTGAGTTTGCTTAGTAGATATACAAAGTACATGTTGTTGTTGTTAAGTGCCATTGAGTCCGTTCCGACCCATAGCGACCCTGTGTAGAGTTTCTGAGGAGTAGCTGGTGAGCTTGAACCGCCAACCTTGCAGTTCTAACGGCTTTGCAGTCTGGCGCATTAACCCACCCAGTAATTAGTATGTAGGCTATGGTGAAAAGTCATTCCACACCTACTTATCTAGTTGATTCCGACCAACCTTGTATGGGAATTCCAAGACTGGAGACCATTGCAGGAGCAGCTGGTGGATTTGAACCTCTGACCTTGGGTTAGCAGCCCTAGGCCTAACCCCATGGCACCACTAGAGCTTCTGAGGCTGCTGGAGGTAACCTGGTGCTGGGTTTTCATTTCTGTGAACCCCGAGATCCCGTGGCGGACCCACAGGTGACTTGGATGCGCTGCAAGTTAGGTGGTAGTTCAGGTGAGACGCCAGCACTCTCAAGGGCTGCTCTGGTCTACTGCTCAGTGCGAGCACCTTGGTCTTCCGTCTGTGTGCGTCGTGTGCGTCACTCCTCCCTTTCTTTCTAGTGCTGCCTGGGGTCAGGGTTCATAGTGGTGACTGGTGTGCTGCCCCTGCGTCCCTGTCCCTTGAGCTCAGCCCACTGCCAGGAGCCTGGACACAAAGCCATAGTCAGGAGGAGTGTGTTGCTGAAGACAGCTATGCATCCTGTTCTCCTCATCATTGTTTGGAAGTTGCTGAGCCTCACTCAACCCTCTGTCACTGTGGAGAGCATTTGAGTTTTGCTTGGTTTATGGGATCATGCTACTCACAGAGTTGCTCCTTGCAAATAGGAAGGTGAGCCCTTGAACGCAGAGCCTTGCACTTCCTTACTGCTGTGCTTCTGACAGGACCTGGACTGAGTTTGAATCCAAAGCAAAAGCCCTTGGTGAAGGTAGTGAGACTCTGCACTTGGGTGGGCGGCACCACACTGGTTTCTGAAGCTACAAAAAGAAAGCCTGCATAGTCCCTGGGAGTCCTGGTGAGGCGCTGTTAGGATGCGCACTAGACTGGAAACCCTATACAGGGTCACTCCACGGCACGGCACGTTACAACAACATAGCCCTGGTGGTCTCAGGACTTGCTGTTTTATGTAAAACTCTTACAAGAGTGTTAATCTGGGGAAATAAATACTGTACCAGAAAACTGTCCCCGCTTCTCCTCCTCTTGACTTCATCAGGTTGCGATTCTAACTCTGAGGTCAGGACAGGCTGGAACAATGCCAGCAGCATGATTGTGAAAGTCAGAATTGTTTGGGGAGCCATCTACAGACCTGGCTTGTAGCTTTGTGCGTGTCTCTCTCTTATGTAAACTGAAGGCGGTTGGGTGTGTTGATCGTGGGCTGAGATTAGCATATTAATAAGGTGCTGCTGATGGGCCTGTTTTCTCCTCCCCGCCTCCTCCCTCCTCTGGAGAGAAGCTAGCCACACAGCCCCGGGAGGCTCACGTTCCCGTTCCAGCTGCTTGCTTTCTGTCCGTGATGGCCCGGGCTGTGCTTCTGATTGGGGAAGAATGAGGAGACAGCCACTGAGGGGTATCCTTCAGGCCGCTGGAAAGTATCACAAAAGGGGGAACACCCACCGAATTTGGCTTCCCACCGGGGAAGGAGCATCCAGGCAGGGGTGCAGTGGGCACTTTGTGGGGCTCCTGGCTCCCCTGGAGCCCATTGGACAGGGTGCATGTGGTGGAAACTGGCCGGCCCCGGGGCCCTGGGAGCAACAGGAACCGTCTGTATGGAGAAACTCGCCTGTGGTCCGTTTCCAACGTGCTGGGCTAAAGGTATGAGTCATCCACAGGCTGCTCCGTTCACTTTTCGGCACTAACATGGTGGATAAGAGTTTTTAAAAAGTTTTTTTCAAGTAGAGTTACAGGTAAATTGGAGAAAATAGAAAACTGGGTGTGTTCTGCATTTGCAGCTCTTCCATAAAACCAGCTAGAGACTTTTCCACCTGGCACATAACGGTTTTGTGGAAATGCTTTCCAAGTGCGTGAACTAACCATCTTCTTGTGTTCTGGCTTGTGTCGTATCGACATGTGTGTGGTTTAGTATTGCTTTGAATCCGACATCTCTGTTCTCTGGGAGGGATGTTTTGGAGGAGGGGAAGCAGCAGGGCGGTGGGAGGAAAGACTTCTGGACATGCTGTGTGCGGGATTGAAACGCCATGACACTTTCACGTGAAGGTTCTAGGGGTTTGACTTCGGTTTTTAAATTCAAATAAAAAGTAGCGTTTTACCACTGGAAACAGTACTTCTGACGCTTGTTTCGAAGGGTAAAAATATCATATAATTCATGCATGTATGAAGCTAAATAAACTAGCTGCTTTGCCTGAAAGCAACAAGAGGGAGTATTTATTTAGCTTAGGAGGAAAAGTCCTCCACTCCAGGAAGAACTGAATGAAAACATTTGTTCTTATCATTTATAATGTGTTTAAATACCCTGCTAATCTACGTGAGGATGTTTTAAAGCAGGGAGCTGCCCAGAGCAAAGAGCTCTGGTCTGTAAGTAGAGCTGAGACGGACAGGATCCGATGTTTAGAGGAAAACGTCAGCACCAGTACGTTGATGGGTTATTATTAACAGCCTTGCCATCAAACTTGCTTTCATTTTTGGAGTCATCCTTGGCATCTATCTTCTAATTCCTTTCTTGGCCTTTAGACATGTGGAAAACCTGATGTGTTGGGACTATTTGTTGTCTTGTGGCCCACCTGTCACTGTATCACCTAATTACATATTCCGAGTAAAGATTGTGCTGAGCTGGACCAGTGGGTGTGATGTCCTGTTGTGGCATAGTCCAGCATGCCCAGTAGCTGTGTCCAGCAGCCAAGAGCTCTGTACTTGTTGGTTGTCTCTGTAGACTGGCTGCAGTCCTTTTACATAATGGTCCTCTCTTGTGTGAGCGCTTTCTGTGGCCTCTGGAGTCCCCTGGAAGCCCAGGCGCCCAGGCGGTCTTCACTGATCAGTTACTGGATTGCCTTTCATTCCAAGTGGCTTCAGAAATGTTAACTTTGCCTCAAACCTTGGAGCGTGGCAGCCTAGTCACCTAACCTGATGAATGACATCTGCTTTATGATGCAGGGGTGGGACTCACACAGAAGATGGAAAAGGATTCAAATGTTTGGGCCATTCATTCAGGAGGTGGCTCTGGGTCTGACCACACTGTACTGGGAAGCTGGTCATCCTGTCCCCCCTAGATAGAACACTACCCATTTGCACATGGTCTCCTAGCCGGCTTCCTGTCTGTCTGCTCACTTTGTGCTCTTGGTCTGGAGCAGGAAGGCAGGAAACCTGCTCCCGTGCCAGGCTCATTTTTGTCTGTATGATACAAAGATAGTGGTGTGTTGAAATCTGCTGAACTGGTTATTTTCAGGGATGGAAGTTACAACTTTTAGATAAACAGTGAAAAGCTCAAATCCAAAGAACATACGAATCTCTGTTTGCACTTGGCCATTCTAAACCCCTCATTCGATCTTATCTGTCCTGTTAACCTGAGAAGCAGGAGCAGTGGCCCAGTTTAAGGAGAGATTGAAAATGCTTTTCAGAGCAGGCTAAAGAGAGTACAACAGCTCATTGTATTAAAAGTAACACAGTGTTGTGGACTTCACAGCACCAGGTTGTATGTGTATACCTTGGATCGGAACCTTTGCTGCATCCTTCCTGTAAGCTAGGGGGCTGTCCTGCCAAATTTGGTGCCGAGAATTCACTGTAGGTCTTTTCTGGTAAGAGTATATTTGAAAGTGTTGGACAGGATTTTGCTCCCACATGTGTCCAGCTCTTCCTGGATCTGTGTTTTAAGACTGTCGTTCGTAATTCAGAGTGCCTACAACACTGCATGTAGAAGGCGCATCTGTTGGTTTCTGCAGCGTGTTCACTCTTGTGTTTACCATTTTCAGAGGCAGGGAAGGATTAAAGAGGGGTCGGAGATTGGTTGGGGAAAGTGTGTTTATTGATTTCTTCTGTATCTTTCAGTGTAGATTGAAATTGGATGAGTGATGAAGAGATCACTTGTGTGCTTCTGTGATGTGCGGTCCAAGTCCTACTCATTCTATTCTGTATGAATAGTTTCAATTCTGTACACATTAACACAGGCACACACAACTCTCTGTAAAGACCCTCAGCATGTACAATTCTCTCCCATGCCTCTGACCCCAGTGACCAACCACCTCTTACTATTTACATTTGTGTTTCTCTCAGGCACCTGATACTGACCTTGCCAGAGGTGAGGGGTCAACCACACCCACAGCCATGCAGTCAGTTCTGACTCGCATTGACCCTACAGGCCGAGGCTGCCCTCTTTATGGAAGCAGAAAGCTGTTACTCTGGGTTCCAACCGCCCAGTGCTTAGCTGCCACACCACCAGGGCTCTGACCTCACCCCTGAAATGTGTGCCTCCCCCAGCACCTGTCTGTGACTACGCTGCAGTACACACTCAGGAGCTCCTGCCAGCGCCCGGACGCTCCTGGACACCTTGCGTGGATGGGTTTCCCGCCACTAGCTCATGTTTCATCCCTCACGTTCTCCCTCTCCGGTGGGTCCACTCTGGTCACAGCGCTCATCCTTGCCTCTCTCTGGGCTGTGAGTCTCACAGCAGCCAGACAAGAGTTTGTTAAGACTTAAGACTCATGTTCTTCTCCGGCTTGTTTTATCTTGGCTAAAACCCCAGACCCCCACCCGCCCTGCGGGTGGGTCGTTCTTGATCCAGGTCCTCCCTGCGCCCCTGCTGCCCTTCCCTCTCGGTCTGGACCAGTGCTCCCTCTTGGTTCCTCGTAGCTTCTCCTCCAGACTCCACAGCGCTTCCTGTGTGCTGTGAATCTCTTAGTTTGACGGGTTTCTGGCGTCTTCTGTGCACTGTTAACATCATTGCCCTCAGTGGCTGTGTTGGATGCTTTCTACTTGGCAAGTAGTTAACCCAGATGGGCAGTATAGCATGAATGAATGCACGCTGCAGAGGGTTAGGCTGGCTTGTTTGGAGCCAATCCTGGGGTTCACACCGTTGCATTGTAAGCAAATCCAGGTTTGCAGACAGTGGGCTCTTAGAACACAAGTGTTCGTGGCCAACTCTCATCCGTCTTGGTGTCACTGTGCTGTAGGGTCTGAGTTAGCTTTTCCTGTGAAGGCTAGAAGTCTGACTAGCCCAGTCACTACCTGCTGTGGGTACTCTAGTTCACTCATTGGGCTACAGGGCTGTTTTGTGCTTCACTTCAAACAGTGGCTTCTTAGAGTTGTGGTTCAATAGCTGTGAATATTGATTAACATCATACAACATTATACTTCCTTATAAACACATTCATATCATCCCACTTAATTCCACTCTGAGATGGAAGTCCCTGTGCCCCATTTTACAGATGAGGAAATGGAAGTACTTGGAGATGAGTCACTTGGCAGTGGTCTGCACAGTGTGATCCTGACTTGAGGGACTGTGGTCTTCATCGCTGCTGCACAGCCAACAGGAAAAGAGCTGGGACCCTAACAGAATTGTCTGCCTTGCACAGACAGTTCTTGCGTTGTAATACGTTGTAAGGACCTCGCTTCTTATTTCAGATAGTTTTCATTCAGTCAGTAAGTATGCACGGAGCATTGTGTACATGCCAGGTGAGCAACAACAAAGCCTCCTCTCCTCAGGAGGGAAACAGTGAAAGCAAAGAGCCGTGGGGTAAAGGGGATCGCGATCTGCGTGGTGTGGAAGGTGCAAAGGCTCTGGGGGTCAGCCGAGGGCAGCCTTCAGTGGGCTGAGGTGTAGAGGGGCATTTTATGGAAGGTCTGAAGAGTGGATACTTGTGGAGAGAAGCAGTGTGTATCAGGGCCGTGGTATCTTCACAGCGAGCTCTCATTTACCAGTGTGCCCTCTGCCCAGGAGCGTAGGCAGGGGACGAGAGGACAGCTCACTGGAAAACCTTCTTTACTGCAAATGGCCCCCAAACCAAAACAAACCCACTGCCACTGAGTTGATTCCGACTGAGGGGAACACTGGGGACAGAGCAGAACTCCTCCTGAGGGGAATAAACTCCTCCTGAGGGGAACAAACTCCTCCTGAGGGGAACAAACTCCTCCTGAGGGGAACAAACTCCTCCTGAGGGGAACAAACTCCTCCTGAGGGGAACACTGGGGACAGAGCAGAACTCCTCCTGAGACTGTAAATCTGCGTGGAGCAGCTCTTCTTTCTTCTGTGGTAGGTTCCAGCCACTGGTTGTGGATAAGTAGGTGGCCAATTCAAAATCAATTTCAGGTCACTTCAAATCCCCAAGGGAACTTCTGTGTTCTTTGGTTCCTTGGTGGTCTCCAGGTGGTATCTATCTTCCGCCATGTTTCCTGACGTTACTGTAAGTGTGACTTTGTGGTTTTCAGTTTGATTTCCAGTCCTCTTAGGTAAAAGTAGAGAGATTTTTGTGTAATGACTTGTTACCTTGTGAGACTTTGCTGTGCTGTGAGCACATTTGTTCCCGTATTTGGTTTGTGTTTATAGAAAATCCCAAGACCTCTGTATTCTGTGATCTGTAAGGAACAACTTTCTGTATCTTTTCTTTCTTTCTCCTGCTTCTTTGTATGACTCCTGGCAGGAGTACTAAGTGGGAGAGCTGGGAGGAGAGGTGCTCTCGTCTGCTTTCCAACTCTAGGGGAGAAAGTGTGCAGTGTTAGTCCTGATGTTGGCTCCAGCTTTCTTCTGGGTTTTTCTTATCATGAGTTGTTGTTGTTGTGAAATGTCATTGAGTCAGTTCCGACCCATAGTGACCCTGTTACAGGCTTTCCAAGGAGCAGCTGGTGAGCTTGAACCACTAACCTTGCAGTTCAAACGACTTTGCAGTCTGATGCATTAACCCACAGCGCCACACCAGGACTCCTATCCTAAGTAGGTGTTTAATTTGATTAGATGCCTGTTTTGGGTCTGTTGAATTGATCATGATAACATTTTTCTGTTTTATTTTTATGATGGGGTGAACTACATTTTGAGTACTGAACCAGCCTTGCATTCCTAAGCTAAATGCTACCTGGTCATGATTTTACATATTGCCATAGTCTTCATGGTTGGTGGTTCAAGCTCACCAGTTGCTGTTCAGAAACCCTACACAGGGTCACTATGGGTCAGGATCGACTCCACGGCACTAAACAACATCAACAAATGTGGAGTTCTGGGGTGGTGCTGAAGGTTAACCACTGGACTGCAAGGCTGGTGGTTGAGACTTACCAGCTGCTCCTCCATGCATCTTCGTTAAACAGCATTTGCTTCCATTCCCGCTGTGTTTTTTTGAAAGCACACCGAAGCACTCAGGAAGAATATAGAACCATTCAAACAACCAAAGGATTACACCCCGCAAGCCTGCCCCCCGGCCATCAGCACACAGCCCCCTCCCTCCCTGAGGCCAGAGTCCCCAGCTGCTCCATCTCACCACATCATTGTCCCTGCCTCCATCTCTGGCGTCGCTGTTTCTCTGGATAGGGTCCCGTACTCCACTCTTCTCCCGTTATGGTCCCAGGGACCTCTGCTCCTGGACTGTAAGATCAGCCACTCCCCTCCTTTTGTTACAAATGTCTACCTTTACACTTTCAACATTCTCAGTCAGTCCTGACAGCAATTCTTCACTATTGAGCCACAAGAGTCCTCCCCATCTCCTTGTACCAGCCCTGTCCACACAGATTGGAAACCACTCAGTGGAGAGTCTACCCTCCCCCACCCCCTCTGAAACTAGACCCCCTCTGTAAAGCTTGTAAGCCATTCACTTCCTGCCTATGTAGGTCCCGCCCCCCCCATATTGGGTTGTTGTTGTTATGTGCCGTGGAGTTGGTTCTGACTCACAGTGACCCTGTACAGGGTTTCCGAGGCTGTAAATCTTTACGGAAGCAGAAAGCCTCATCTTTCTCCTGCGGACCAGCTGGTAGTTTTGAACTGCTGACCCTGACGTTCGCAGCCTGATTCGTAACCACTACACTACCAGTAGCCAGTATCTAAGTTGCCCATCCCTGTCAACCCTGTGTACTGAGGTGGGGTGGGAATGATCCTTGCTGTAAAGATTCATTCATTCCCTCTTTTGAGCTACTACATCCACATGCATAGGTCAAGTTCATCAGATTGTGTGCTGTTACTCCTTTCTTCCTCTAGTTTTGTTCAGATCATCCAGCCATTGAAGCCAGGTCCAATGGGTACTCTCTGCAAATATGGGTGTTCTTGTACATCTTCCCTCACTTAGTATCAGCTGGGACACTCACTTTCTCCTCTAGTGGCCATGTTCCTGTCCTCAAGGACTATTTATAAAAAGAATATATAGACATCTCCAATGTAACATTGTATTTTTGAAAAGCACAGTCTTCATGAAAATCTACCTTAGAATCTATTTCTCATTTTTTTGAAAATGAAAAATTATATATATTTACTGAAGACATTCAACCAGTTTCCTAAGACCCAGTGAAAAACCCGCATACCAAGGGACTTAATACATTTGTGGGGAAAGTGGAATTAAAAGATATTGAATTAAAAAAATTTTTTATTATGCACTGAGTGAAGGTTTACAGAGGAGATCATCAGTTTTGCATTCAGAAAATCATATCCTATGCTTCATTACAATGACTGCAATCCTCTCCATGTACCAACAATTAACAGTATTTACGTCTGTTCACTTTAGCTCGTGCACTCCCCCCTGTGTCCCCCGCTGCCTTCCCTCCAACTGTGAATCATTCCCTCCCCTCTGCCCCCTTACCATCATAGAATATTTATTTAGCACAAAATTCTTTTACCTTTTACAACAGTCATCTCATCCTTTATTAATTGACTGATTTCACGCAGCCTAATGCCCTCCAGATTCATCCATGTCGTGAGACATTTTACAGATTTTTCCATTAAATTTTTGAAGCTTGCTCATAAAACCCACAAACTATCATGTTAAGATTTAGGGTGCTCAAAACATTGTTTTCTGACTACTGGACAGTTTGGATAACAGTTGTTGATATGTGGAAAATATACATACTGTTCACTTAAAAACCTCAAGAAAATCACTGCCATCCAGTCAGTGACGCCCAGTCATAGTGACCCTGGAGTCCGGGGGTGGTGCTGTGTGATAAGCACTGGACTGCAAGGTCGGTGGTTTAAAGTCACAGTCTGCTCCTAGGAAACCCTAACAGGGCTGCTATGAGTTGGAATTGACTTGGCACTCACGACCACAGCAGTAGGGTTTCTAAGGCTGTAAGTCTTTACGGGAGCAGAAAAGATCATTTTTCTCCCACTCGCTGGTGAGTTTGAACTGCTGACCTTGTGGTGAGCTGTCCAGGGCTCCAGCATGCTCTTCACTAGTCATTATTTTTGTAATAAAGGAATATAACATTAAATGACATTTCTAGAAAAAAAATGCAGACAAATGCTTACTAAAAAGGCAGTCTGCTAACACCTGACAGCAGGAAGAGAATTGAGATGAGGAGGAATGTGGTTGGGGATGGAGATGAAGGGACAATGTCTGACTCGGAACAAGTTCCAGAGCTGCTTGATGACCGAGTGCTGGGAGAGCCGGGAGATGTGCCGCCATCATTTGTGTGTTCAGTTGAGCTTTTTTCGGTGGTACTGTAAGAGGATCGAGGTATTTACAGACGTCGCTTTCAACAATATTTAAACCTGGAGCCCCCAGGCAGTGAAGTAGTGAACATTTTCAGCAGCTAACCAAAAGGTTGGAGGTTCGAGTCCACCCAGAAATGTCTTACATGAAAAACCTGGCATTCTGCTTCTGAGGAGTTGTGGGCCAGTACTCCTCTGACAGACAGGGGGCACCATGATGGAATCTACTTATGAAAAACCAGCACTGAGAACCCTGTGGGGCCCAGTTCTCCTCTGACACACATGGGGATACCTTGAGTTCCAGCGCATTAGCCCACATCGCCACCCCAGGACTCGAAGTCCTAATTGTTGTGAAGTGCTGTCGAGTCAGTTACGACCCAATAGCGACCCTGTTTGAACCTTACAGTTCACATGGCTTTGCCGTCTGGCACATTAACCCATAGTGCCACACCAGGAGTCCTAGTTGTTGTTAGGTGCCATCGAGTCGGTACCGACTCATAGCGACCTTATGCACGGCAGAACGGAACACTGCGCGATCCTGGGCCAACCTCACTACTGTTGCCACGCTTGAGTTCATTGATGCTGCCACTTGGCCAGTCCATCTCTCTGGGATTCTTCCTCTTTTTCTCTGACCCTCCACCTTACCAAACATGACATCCTTCTCCAGTGACTGCTCCCTCCTGACAATATGTCTGAAGGATGAGAGATGAAGTTTGGCCATCCTGGCCTCTAAGGAGCACTCTGGCTGCACTTCTTCCAACACAGATCTTCTCGTTCTTTTGGCAGCCCATGGCCCTTTCAATATTCTCCTCCGACACCATAATTTAAATGCATTAATTCTTCTATGGTCTTCCTTATTCACTATCCAGCTTTTGCATGCATATGAGGTTTTTAAGTCCTCTTTACTTTCAGCAAGCAAGGTGGTATCATCTGCATATCGCAGGTTGTTAATGAGTCTTCCTCCAATCCTGATGCCACATTTTTCTTCATAACCCAGCTTCTCAGATGATTTGCTCAGCAGACAGGTTGAATAAGTACGGTGAAAGTGGTGGTTGGTTGTTAGGTACCGTGGAGTTGGTTCCCACTCATAGCGACTCTGTACAGGGTTTCCGAGGCTGTAAGTCTTTACGGGAGCAGAAAGCCTCATCTTTCTCCCGCGGAACAGCTGGTGGTTTCAAGCTGTTGACTGTGAGGTTAGCAGCCTGATTCGTAACCACCTCGCTACCAATGGTCTTACCTGATGACTGTCCAAAATAAGCCAGACAAAGTCTGGCCAGCCTTGCTTCAAAGGTGCGTTCTAATTGTAATTGCTCGCTATTATCATTACTAGCCTTAGTCCACACTGTAATTCAGACCTGTTGATTCTCTTTCCATGTCCCGTTGCCATCAAGGTGTTTTCCTGGAGCTTCAGACTCTCAAGGGCCCAGCACTGACAGATGTCGTGTAGAAAAAGGCGAGCTCCAGATAGGTTCATAGTGCCATCTTGATTGGTCCTGACTGTCCCAGAGTCTGTCTTGAGCCCCCTAACAGTCTCTGGATGGTTTTGTATCTGGCTTATCTGACCTTTTCTCAGTAGGAGCTAGTCTTGCCCCAATTGGACCCTCATAGTCCAGCAAAGACTTCCTGCTGTGGATGCTTTTGCAGTATTAAATCATTTGTGTCTCACTCACCTCCTAAACTGTGAGTTCTCAAAGGGGAAGGACTTTGTTGTAGTTACCACTTGTGTGTGTGTTTTAGTTCGCCAGGGCTTAATTTGTACAGTGACGGCTCGTGGAATTTTTATTGCACAAATAGGTTTTATTACAGCTTAAAGTTTCCAAAAATAGTTTGCAAAATTAACAAATTTCTGTTTCCTGAGAGACTTCCCCACAGATGTAAAGGCCATGCTACAAAGGGTTAAAGTGTTGATGATAACAGTTTTTGACAGAGCTACAATAAGCCTCTTTGACTTGTAATCGTTTGTGTAAGAAATATTCTGCTGCTATGAATCAGATGCTGTTCTGGGGGCATGGGGGAGGTAGACAGTGACGATCTTGGTAGGTTAGGGCCGTCTTCTCACACTTTCCTGGATAATGTGTCTTATACAGGTAACGAATGTATCAGAGAGAATGTAGGGCAAAGTTGTTATACTACAAGCATCAACAGATCACATGTGAATTGGTAGATTTTAAATAATGAACAGTGAAAAATAATTTTTTTTTTTCTTACAGAATATGACAGATACCTAGCATCTAGCAAAATAATGGCAGCTGCTTACCTTGACCCCAACTTGAATCACACCCCTAACTCCAGTACTAGGACTCACCTGGGCACTGGTCTGGAACGCTCCCCTGGGGCCATGGAGCGTGTGCTAAAGGTCTTTCACTATTTCGAAAGCAATAGTGAACCAGCCACGTGGGCCAGCATCATCAGACATGGAGACGCGACTGATGTCAGGGTAAGTAGTCTGTTGAGGCCAGCACCCAGAGTAACAGACATCCTGCTTGCTTGTCAGAGACTTCCCATGTGACAGAGACAGTGACTTGTTACTGTATGTGATTTATTCAGTTAATACGCGACTGAGCAGAAGTCAGCTGTAAAATGTCTTAGGAAAATCATGATATTCATATAATGTCCTTGAATCAGCTCTTCTCCCACCTCTTTTTTTTTTAAACTCGTTGAAGACTGAAAAAACAAAAGCTTTTGACATTTTATGAAATAAAAGAAAATAAATTTTCCAGAAAGTGTAATTTTGGAAATATTTGCAAAGTTCAAAGTTGGATATACCTTCAAAAATTATTAACTGTTTTATACATCAAGGGACTTCCAAAAATTGTGAGGAAATTCTCTTACCTCTGAATTTTATTTTTCCCTGAGCTTTTTGAGCCCCCTTGTATTGTAGACCAGGGGGATCGAGAAGGCTCCCCCCCATAAGTGAGTAGGGGGGTCATCATCCTCGGCTTACCTACAAAACCCGAGTGCAGGTGCCGGGGAAGGATGGAGAGCTCCTGGGCCCATGTAGTAGGAGTTAAGGCTGGAGAGGGCTTCCCTGGGTTGTGAAGGGTGGCGAACGAGGGCTAATGACACAGAATCCCAGGATTCGCTTATCTTAAGTAAAGGTCTCCATCTGTTTCTAAAAGTAAGGTGACAGGTAGCCCCGTGACTTCAGAAAACCTGGGATGTGTTCACCTGAGCAGATGTGTGCAGAATGACTCCTCCGTCCTGCTCAAGCCACACTGCTGATTAGGGAGGAGACGTTCCCATTGACTAGCAGGGGCAGATGGGCCTGGTTTTCCATCCCTTCTGCACTCATGCGACCAGTGGGTTGCTGCTCTAGAAAAAATGTGCTTGTCTTCACTGTTTTAAAGAAAACAGGTCTTTAAGGCTCATAAGACAGTGAGTTTCAATTAGATCTCATTTTCTTTCAGTTCTGCAGTATTTGTATAGTTGTACACTGACTATTTCAAATTGATGAACGATTAGAAGGTAACTTGCTGATTCAAGGTGGAATTTTGTTGTGTGGCTTGCTAGCTCTCTCCTGGTTTCATGTAGCTCTACGTTGTGTTTCAGTGAAGCCTGTGATCTGTTTTGCGTTACTTTTGATGTGGAGGTGATGAGGTGTAGGTCAGAGTTGAATTTTGGTGTGTGGAGGCCCAGTTGCAGCCTCCACTGAAAGTTTACTGGTTAGTTAGTACTGTGACCCTTGTCAACTCCTGTGCAAGCGCTAGGAGGTTTAGTAGCTGGGCACACGTCCTCTTCAAATGGCAGTGGGATTGTTAGGGAGGCCACTGGTGGGAACACAGGTGTAGACTTTGTCGTTGGATTCTTAACTTTTCCACCTTCCCATGTTATTATTTTGTTTTAGTAGTCAAATTAGGGCGCCAGGTGCATATTTTTGTTGGGGTGGGGGGCAAAATCATATTTTTTTTTGCTAATAATGCTTCCTATTCTGGAGTATCTTTGTCACCGCAGGGTAGGGTCTTTAGCCAGGCATTCTTGCAAGCTGTGGGGTGCATTGCCTTTTCTTAGGTTGGAGAAAGTGGTATCATTGTAGCTGCTCCCCACACAGCTCCCCTCCAGTTATTTTTACTTACATTTGGCGTATACCAAGCATGTGCTTGATACTGGGGACTTAAAGACAAGTAGGACACTTCATTGGGAGACGAGTTTGGTCACCGGCTTTCTACAGACCTGCGTTTACTCAGCATGAGTGCAGTGTGGAAGAAAGCCAGCGCCCTAGAATGATTCCTCCTGCTGGGCACAGGGGCCTCCTGAACCAGGAGGGGCTTGTCGAGGAACAGTCAGTGAGTGAGTTTGAGGAAGGGAGAGTGAGGCTCGGAGAGCAAAGTGCTGAAGGTGCCTTCATTTCTACCTTCCACAGGAGATGGTGAGGAGGGGAGGATAATGAAGTGTGGGTTTCACAGGTAATTAGTTGGTAGATGAATCTAGAGCTAGCCCGTTTTACAGGTGGAAATCGCAGAAAATGTAAGTACTGTATTCTTAAAACCAGGAATGTGCACGCTCTGTGGATTTTTGCAGATCGTGCAACCCCCTCCCACGTTAGTTTCCTGTGCAGTTAGATGTGGAAAATATGGTAATTTAAGCAAGATTACCATTTCAGTAACCCATAATTTGACCTTAAACCCTAGCTCGTCTGAGCTCAGAGTCTGTCCTTGTTTCTATCGTAACAGACCCGCTTCCTCTCCTAAAAGTGTTTCCTCTGAGCTCCTGCCATGTGCTGTGAAAACAGGTAAGAGAAGGCACCTGGAAGGCAGGTGAGGGGAGCCACCTGGAAGACAGGTGAGGGGAGACACCTGGAGGACAGGTGAGGGGAGACACCTGGAGGACAGGTGAGGGGAGACACCTGGAAGATTGGCTGGCCAGCAGCAGCAGAAGGAGGGGTGAGTGAGTGATTCCCAGCAGAGACAGTGAGGTCATGAAAGCAAGCATTTTAAAGATCCAGAATGCACACCATCATTCTTTACTTCCTTCTACAAGAAGGTCCAGAGGTCAAAATAGAAAATGGAAAATAAATTAAATATTTGAAGGCATAGTCACCAAAAAACGTCCTAGAATTGGGAATAGTTGGCCTATGTTAGCGAGTTCCTCCAGTACAGAGTAGCACTGCCTACAGGGATTCCAAAGTTGTAGCCTTATGGGAACAGCCTGCCTCATCTTTCTCCTGCAGAACACTGGTGGGTTTGAACAGCCGACCTGTTAGCCACAGCGCCACCAGAGCTCCTTGGCCCCTGTGGTGTTGGTGGTGGTGGTTGGCATTAGGTGCTAGCGAGTTGGTTCCGACTCACAGCGACATTATGCACAACAGCGCCCAACCCTGCCTGGCTCTGCGCCATCCTCACTGCTGCTGCCCGCCCCTGTGCCGACCCAGCTCAGTGGGGGGTTTCATCTGTTTTGCTGATTCCCCCCCACCCCCAAGTGTGGTGGTTGTGGTGATAAGTGCCATCAAGTTGGTCCCTACTCACAGTGACACTGTATAGGATTGCCAAGGAGCAGCTGGTAGATTTGAACTGCCACCCTTTTGTGGTTCACTGTCCAGTGCTGACCCTACGGCACTATCCCAGGACTCCTGTGTAGCATGTTTAAAACAAGCAGACAGTAGTAACACCCAGACCTCGAGCTGCTCAGGCGATCTCCTAGGGTCCAGTTACCAGTCTAGGCCTGATGCTAGCATGGAACAGGTGCTGTGCCTTAGTACCAGGACCCTCACGTGTGGAAGAGGACGGCCAGTGGTCCTTCAGAACGGCCGTGCTCACGCCTCAGTTCACGATGCACACTGTGACCACCGAGCCGTCTCCCAAACTAGAAACGAAAAAAGCAGCCCCTCTGAGTGTGAGCCTTAGCCGACGTACATGCTGCAAACATGAGAGAGCCAGATCCAGAAAACCATGGAGACCTGAGAGGAAGAAGGGACATGTGGGTGAAGGGGATGCCCAGAAATCCCTCAGGAAAAGACCCCGCAAGGAAAGACTAGGAAGGCGGCTCTTGTTCCAGGTGAGGACAATTCCAGAGCACAGCACAGCCTCCCTTCTAGGTGTTAGTACTAGTTGAAGACAAACTCAGCTAATGTGACAGATATACAGAGACGAAGCGTTTAAACCCTCTTGAGGAGCCAGTGGCACTGATAGTAATTTCCAGTCTTGTTGCTCGTTAGAAGTTCCAGCAGAAGAGAAAATGTCTATGACCAGGAGACATTGTGTAAATGATTCTAGTGTCCAGGAAGGTAAAATGGGAGAAACAAGACACTGTTTGAGGGCTGCCTAAGTTTGGAACAGAAAGGAAGTGCTAAGAGTAGTCATGTGTCAGAAATACACCAGCCGTTGCATGGTGGCAAGCAGGGAAGCCAGGGCACCACTTCCTGAGAGGAGCGAGCTCATACTTACTGACAGATCCAGGCTTAGACCCTCTGTAACCACACACAACTGTTAAGAGCGCTTGAATGTAGCTAGTAAACACACCCGGTCTCAAAGACTTTGAGTACAAAATGTCAAATATCCATTCATGATTTGTTAGGCAATGATGTGTTTAAATGATAGTAATAATAATGGATTAAAGAACATGTATTATGATTCACTTGTTTCTTTTTGCTTGTTTCATGTGACTAATGTTAAGTGCTGTCATAGGGTTTCCAAGGAGCAGCTGGTGGGTTTGAACCAGCAACCTTGTGTTTAGAGTGCTGTCAAGTTGGTTCCGATTCATATCGACCCCATGTAGCATTTCTGAGAGCAGCTGCCTGCCTACCTTGCAGTGTGACAGCCAACTAATGTAGAATCACATATGTGGCTCACGGTCGATTGCTGTTGGGCAGCTGAGCTCTACAGGAAAAAGTGACCAGAGGGCCGGCTTGTACAAGGAAGCCAGAGCTCTGTAGGAGTTGGGAGGTTCGTTTCCAACAGGGACGAGATTGGAGTTCTCAGGGCTTTCGTACACTGTATTTAATAGACATTAGCTTGGAGTCCTGGTGTGGCACTTTGGGTTAATGTGCTACACTATAAGGTCAGTTTGAACCGCTAGATCAGTAGTTCAATGTCACCAGCCACTCCTCGGAAACCCTATATAGGGTAGCTGTGGTTCGGAACTGACTCAGTGGCACTTAACAACAGCGCTCCCTTTACATGTGCATGTTAGTTAGTGAGTTTGATTGTTTCAAGGATTTCCGGGCTCACGCTCACCAGCTGCTCCTTGGAAACCCTATACAGGTGGCTATGGGTCGGAACCAACTCGATGGCACTTCACAACAACAACAACAAACCATTTATACCATTAAGTATAGTGCAATAAAAACAACAATATAACGACAGGGACCTGGTCCTACGAGGCATTTTGGCTCTGGACATGGTCTTCTCCATGGTTGTGAACCCCTCTGTGGGCGTATGTGTGAACCGCGGCAGTAGGAGAAAGAGCAGGGTGTGTTCTTGGTGAGAGTAGGATCTGTAAAGTGAGATAGTCACATTGGTCCATTCCATCCACATCACCAGCCTCCCCCAAACTCAGGTGTGAGGAGGCAGAACTCCATTCCAATGACTATACTGCAGAGATGTTGGCGTGTGTTTTCCCTGGGCAGCACACACACCCACGGTGTGACGGTGCGGTGGGCTTGAGTTAGTACATAGATGAGCCAAGTGTCAAGAGCTCTGAGAACGGCTGAGAGTGAGCCATGCTGCCCAGATGAGATGATTGGAACTCCCATCCGCACTGCTGAATGCAAGACCTGCACAGGACTCTGGGAAAGAGCCTGGATTTGGGCAGCCTCTACCACAGAAGTGTGCAGGAAGGTGTGTGCAGAGGCAGGAGGGTGCAGAAAGTTAGGACCGTAGCACTGTCTACTCAAGACAACTAGGGGTACACTGAGGTACACGCCTTTGTGTCCAGGATAACTGGTATGGCTTTTTGGGTGGGGAAATTGGTCATAATTCCCAAAATGTTTTCTGTAACCTCTCAATCCAGCACCCTGTCTCAAAGCAGTGCTTAGACACAGGCATGAAGACAGAGCTACAAGGACGTTCACAGCACATCTTTCTTCCCCAGACAGGGCGCCAAACAAAAGCATAATTCTGTCACCAGGAAAAGTACTGCAAGGCACTGATGTCTTTTTCAGCCTGAGAAATCATCTCTTTTTCTAAGAATTTAGTTAGGAAAATGGCATAATTTTGAGCTAAAAGGAGAACTGAAGGTTTCATAGTAGCCAGATCTGTTTTGTATGTCGTAGAACCAGACTGCCACAGGCCTTCCGAATCAGTAGAAGAAAATGAAATGCATTCAGCCCCTGTCGATGGGTTATTCTGGCCCTTGTCCCAGTAGCTCTACCGACAGACGGACCTTTCTAGACTTGCATTCCTGGCGCATGGTATGCATGCACGTGTGCACAAGGGGCTTCAGAATGTTTCTGGGGAAATGGATGGTTAGATCTTGTCATTTTCCACGAACTTTGTACATGTGGCCTGCCTGGGAGTGGTAGCCCCCCTGCATACTCCTCATTGCTGCTTGGGCCCATTTAGGTCATGGTGAGGAGGGTCCATAGCGGGGAATGTAGTTGAGTGCTCCCACGCTGTGGGGACTTGTATAAAATACCTCTCCAGCTCCAGGGCCTGTGCTCGTCGGAGCATGCCGCAGTACATGTCTTGTTACCAGCTGTCAAGTATGAGGGGACTTCAGAAAGGACTTGGGAAAGTGGGATTAAAACATAGTGGGCTTTTTCCACAGGTTTTTGGAAACCCCTCTTCCCGACGTGTATTTAAACGATTGTAAATGAGGTGGAGAGTCTTTACATGTGTCCAGAAATCTGGATTTTCCTCCTTGAACTATGTTCCCTTGAAGGTCCGGGAAGCAGATTGCAGAGTTAGTTACCCAGTCTACGCATCCAGAAGTAGACAGTGCGTTCTCCAGATGATCTGAGTGATCGAGTATGTGCCATTTGTCACTCATTATTTAAGCTCCTTGCCCATTTATAATATTGGTTGTGATCCAGATTGAAGAGCGTCTTGGTGGTGCAGTGGTTAAAACACTCAGCCACCAACCCTAAGGTCAGCAGTTTGAACCCAGCAGCCACTCTGCAGGAGCAAGACGAGGCCGTCTGCTTCTGTAAGGCAGTCTGGGAAGCTGACGGGGCTGTTGTCCTGTGCCCTACAAGCTCGCTCTGAGTCACAGTCGAGTGGATGGCAGTGGGCTTTGGTTCTGATCCAGATTGCATTAGTGATGGAATTTGGAGAGAGTGGAGGAGAATATTGAAAGTGCTATGGGCTACCCATAGAACCAACAGATCTGTGTTGGAAGAAGTGCAGCCAGAGCGCTCCTTGGAGGACAGGATGGCCAAACTTCGTCTGTCATACTTGGGACATACTGTCAGGAGGGACCAGTCACTGGAGAAGGATATCATGTTTGGTAAGGTGGAGGGTCAGAGAGAAAGAGGAAGACCCCCCAGTGAGATGGATTGACAAAGTGGCAGCATTGATGGGCTCAAGCGTGGCAACAATTATGTTTGGACCAGGATTAGGCAGTGGTGCGTTCTGCTGTGCATAAGGTCGCTATGAGTCAGTACCGACTCGATGGCACCTAACAACAACAACAACAACAAACATTGTAGGGTAAGTGCTAGACTGCTAACTCTGAGGTTGGCGCTTCAAACCCACCTGTCTCTCCTCAGAAAATCCTATACAGTGGAGTGAGAAGTAGGTCACCACAGGTGGAAGCACTGCTCAGTGGGCAGCCCTCCCTGTGTGTAAGTGGTCGTCATCATGAGGCAGCTGCAGTCCAGTCTCGACATCCCTGGGGTCTCCTGACTGGTCAGGCAGTAGTAGCCTCAGTGGTCCGTGACAGAACTTCTAGGCAAGGGTCTGCTGTTCAGCAAATGCCCCTGGTCAGGCAGAGCCCCTCACTGGTGCCTGCAGATGTGTCCATGAGCCAAGAGGAGAAAAGGAACCCAGCCTGGGCCCAGGAGAGAAGGTAGGGCTAGCAGTGGGGTGCTGTGAGAAGGGGCCTGTGCGCTGTACTGCCTTTCACTGTGCGTACAGGGGAGCCCGGGCTGGTTGCGGGGAGCGGTGGCATGGAGGCAACATGGTCAAGCTGGAAGTGAAGCTGGAACAGGGAGACAGAGGCGCCAGCTCCAGTCTGCTGCAGCTCAGGGATTCATGTCTTGGCAAAAAGGCGCCCCTTCATCTGGGCAAATCCCCAAACCCATCCCAGAGCCAAGATTCAAAGACAGGATGACGGGCTGGGCTCCGGTCCCTGCTGGCTCTCCTCAGTTGGGCACTTGTGTGGGCTTCTCCAGGGCCCTGACAGGAACCCCAGGCCTTGGATCCCAAAGCCAGAAAGCTGCCTGCCTGCCCCAGCGCCATGCGGCTCTGTGGGCTGCACGTGGCTGTCCGTCCTGAGGACAGTCCATCTCTCTGTGCTGCCTTGGACTCCTCAGTCCAAGGGCTTTCTGACCCCAAGTACATGCCCTTCTCTGCCCTGTACCTCTCAGTGTACCCAATCCCTGTGAGGGCAGAGCCTTGGACACCTTGGGCCTTGGGCGGCTTTTGTATATAGTATGTGTTGTATTATGTATCTTCTCTCAGGGAGAGCCAGGAACGGGCTGTGTTTTCTTATCCACAGCTCCGAGCTCAGCCCAGAAATCCTGTGCCCTAGTAAAGACCTTGGCAGATGCCTTACGTTGTCTGTTGGTAATAGCTTTAGGTAATGGCCACTTTATGGAAACCATGATGGTTTTCTGTAACAGGCCTTTTTAGTAGTCACTTAAAAGGCGGACAGATGGGTGTGATGAGCACACCTGCAGGGAGGGTGCGGCTGGTTCCGATGTGTTTCAGATGTGTGCTGCCTCTTTAAGTCACTTCTCCATCCACCATGGCTCACACCTGGCTGGGTACTGGACTAGCCGCTTCTAGCATTGTACCTTTCCCATCACCAGGACAAAGCTCCCCTGCTCCAGGGAGCTTTCCTGATGACCTCATGCAAGATGACCTGTGTTTGCTCTGAATTTGGGGCACATGTGCAGACAGGATTAGACTTTTGGGGTGTTTTAGATGGTTGCACATTAAACAATTCCTCTATGGACTAGAGAGAGCAAATACTAAAGCTCTTCATGTGTCGTCAGCGGTACCTGCAGCGTGCCTTTACTTACATGCGTGTCTTCCTGGATGCTTTTTATGATGTTACAGTTTGCAGCAAGTTTTATTGGGCCAGAAAGTATAATCCCTTCTTTAATCCTTGGAAATGGTAAATGTGCATGGAGGGTACACTTGCAGCTCGGCAGGTTTTACAAAGTGAAGTTTCAAGTGTATTTTTACATTTCTGTACTTTGATTACATGTACACAAAAGGGGGACATCTTTTGGTGTTTTTATAAAGTTTTCTGTATTCATAAGGAACACTATTTGAGGAGACAAACTCTTAATTAAAGTGAAGTCACTGATTGAACCTGACACACTTTTGTTGTTGTTGTTTTTATTGTGAATTGAGTGAAAGTTTACATGGGAGCACATTGGTTTTATACTCATTGTTTCATTACAATGATTACATTCACCCCCGTGCATCATCATTCAACAGTATTTGCTTCTATTCCCTCTGTTTTGTTTCTTATTTTTCGGGATGGCCACAAAAGCACTCAGGAATACATAATCATTAAACAACCAAAGGGAACATTCTGCAAGCCTGTCTCCTGGCTGCCAGCACATAGCCTTTCTCTTTCCATGAGTCTAGAGTCCTCAGCTGCACCCTCTCTCCATGTCCCCATCTCTACCTCCATCTCTGGTGTTGCTGCTTCTCTGGTTAGGGTCCTGCAATCTGCTAGTGTTCGTCTCCTCTATTTCTGGACTGTAAGATGAACTACTCCTCAGTTTCTGTTTCAGAACTTCTACCTTTATAGTTGTGACAGTCACAATTAATCATGATAACAATTACTATTGATTCATAAGAGTCCTATCCCCGGCTCTTTTTACCAGACCCATCTAGACAAGATGAAAACTATTCAGTGGGAACTCAGTCTTCCCCCATACACTCTTAGACTAAACTCCCTCTTGAAACCTTGTAAGCCAGTCACTTTGTGCCTTTATTGCCCCCTCATTTAAGGTAGCCAGTGTCTAAGTTGCGTGTCCCTATGTACCCTGTGTATAGAGGGAATAGGATCGATACTTGATGTGATGCTTGATCCTTCCCTCTCGGTTGGTACCTTGAGCTGCTACCTCCATGAGTACAGGGACCTGACGCACTTTTAGAACTGGCTGTGCTGACTCACAGAGAAGTGAGCGTTGCATTCTTATTTAGCGTGCAGTTTTCCCAGCTTGTGACACGGTCATTTTTACGGTGGTGTGTTCCAGGGCATCATTCAGAAGATAGTGGACAGTCACAAAGTGAAGCACGTGGCATGCTATGGATTCCGCCTCAGCCACCTGCAGTCGGAGGAGGCGCACTGGCTCCATTTGGACATGGGTGTTTCCAACGTGCGGGAGAAGTACGAACTGGCACATCCCCCGGAGGAGTGGAAGTAAGATGACACACCTATGCTGTGATTGACACACCATTTGTCTTTGCTTTTGCTTCTGAGAAACGTGCACAGGGCGCTGTGTCTGTGCTTAATTTCCACAGTGATTATAATGATCAGCAGAAGACAGACCGCAGCGGTGTCCTCCGGACTCCTGTCTGTTCTGTCCGGCAGGGGGCATCATCAACTGTGGCTCCTGGCGAGTCGTCCGGCATCCTCCTTGGGCTGTCTCATCTGTCTGCTCACTTATGCGTATTTTAAGCTCTGCCTTCACCTTTCGGATGCCATGCCGTGCCCTAGTGGTGGGATACACAGCTTGCTTTCTTGGGCCCCCGCAGTCGAGACCTGGGCCTAATGAGAGTGGCTGGTGTTGAGTGCTGTCAAGCCCGTCCTGTCTCAGAGAGAACCTGAGAGTGAGTGGTGTCTTGAAGCGCTGACTTTGTGCTTCAGCCCAGTGCCCCCAAAATTCACGGGGACCATCACAACGGGGACCTGACCACTTAGTGCCTCCTGTACTGACTTGAACGAAACGGAGAGGGAATCCAAAGGGCTGTGCTTCCCGGGTTCTCCCGTATGATCCTTTCTCCCTCCTAGCAAGGTGTTGGTAGGAGCATGTACATCAAAAATAGTTGCTGTTAAGAAAGCGTGTAAAATGGGGCTCTCTCTACAAGCACCTCATTTATACACTCGCTGCTATAGAAATAAAGGTGATCACAGGTGGACGAGGCCATTCAAACTCCAGTAACGTTCAGACCAAGGGCCTGAATTTCTGAGGGTAGACATTTTAAAAGCATGTTTAAGGAACAAAATCTTTAGTTGACTCAAATCTTGTCCCAGTTACAGATTTTAACAAAGAAATGTAGCTGCATTTTCAACTTTGTCAAACAGCTGGAGTCGAGCTAACAGAACGTTTTCTGAGGCTAGAGCTTGGCTGATTTTTGTCAAAGGACCTACTCTTACTCAGTTTATGAAGTAAACGTTTTAAAACCATTTAATAAAGATACTCTACATGTTAGCAAAAAGATACTTGCACTTGGTATTACTAGTTAGCACAAATATCTTGATTTGCATAGACATTTCAGAGGTCACTTGAATCATGTGATTTTCTTCACACTGTATGCTGTTAATAAGAAATGCCAAAGTGTGTATTTCATGTAACATTGCCAACAGCCCTGTTAGCCTAGTTTTACAACTGAGCCAACAGGTTCAGTGACGTGAAGTTGAAGTCCTGCAGAGAGCTTGTGGCACAGCTTCTATTTGGAGCTGACAAGTTGTTAAATGACCATTGCCTACTGTAAGAATACAGCGATCTTAGAGCCAGAGGTTGTAGTTAGGCCTTTACGATCAGTGACGATTGCTTAGGCAGTAGGTGGAGGTGATGGAAGACGGGAATGTTAGCTTAGTTGCCAAGTGCATGGTGCCCTCAGAATTCTAAGGGTTAGTACTGACTGGACTCTGTCTGCAAGTGTGTTTACCAGGAACATGCAGTGTCCAGACGTAGCGGGAGATAACCAGAAAGAACCAGGAGGCTCTGACAGTGGACCAAATAGAAGTTCTAGAAAGCAGTGAATGGTAAAACAGCAGATCAGACAGAACTGAAAACTCAGCAGACAGGTTGTTGTTGTTAAGTGCCGTCGAGTCGATTCTGACCCATAGGGACCCTGTATAGGGTTTCCAAGGAGCAGCTGGTGAGCTTGAACCAGCAGACAGGTAGATCTGAGAAAGTTGCCCCAAACATCACATAGCTGAACAGATGCAAACACGAAAAAAGGTTAATGTTAGCTGAAGAAAGGCCAGGCCCAACCTGTTTCTAATAGAAAGTATGGAAAGAGAGAATAAAAAGGACAGGAGAGGAAAAGTGTCCGAAGAGGTGATGGCTGAGAACATTCTAGAAAAATCAGTGACTTGAGTCCTTCAAACACAATGGTAGCTTCAGATCCAAACAGGGCTTATTAGGCAAATTCCACACTTGGGCATATTGTGGCAAACACGAGCACCTGAAACAGTGGTCAGATCTGGCTAGTGAAGTGACTTCTGCTGTCCGTTGCTTTCTGACACGGCACTTAAATCCTACTTTTTAAATCTCGAAAACCAGGTCTTAGCACCTAAAATTGTTGTTAAGTGCCACCGAGTCAGTTCTGGCTCATAGGGGCCCCCTATATAGGGTTTCCAAGGAGCGAATGGTGAGTTTGAACCACCAACTTTGTGATCAGAGCTGACCTTATGTCCAGTGCTGTCTTCCACAGCACTGCTTCAGGATTTCAGTAGATTAGACATACGAGGTAGGCACCAGCTGCCTCTGCTTCCCCATGTCCTTTCCTGCGACTCTCCTCCAGCTAACTCTTGTCCATGTTGCCCAGCACTCATCACAACTGAGAAAATGGCCCCAAACTTCACACAATGTTGCTGTTTTCAGGGTCACTTAAAACAGTGACTTGGAAAATAGCTACCATACAGATGCAGACAAGACCTGCTTCTGAGGTTTGTAAAGTAGGAGTGAGGTGTGGGGTGTTGGAGTAGCAGTCATTGCCGTGCGGAAGCACTGTTAGCTGAGTCTTAAATCGACAAGTTTGGGCAACTGTTAAAACACGAGAAGTAGATGGACAAACTTACAGAACAGTGACTGTACAAATAGCCAGGAGACTGTCATCAAAAAGGCAGCAAGAGGCCCTTAGATAACCCACAGGCCTGGAATGAACTTACCCCTGTGGCTCAGCCTCCAGCCAAGCGCAGACAGGCCTAGAAGGGGGACAGCAACAGCAGGGAGGTACACAGTCCTTACAGAACCCAACCCGAGGAGAGCAAAAGGGCAGCTTTTTCCCAGGGAGGAAGCTCAGAAGGCAGGAAGGGGCCGGACAGAAGGATGCAGGGAACTGGTCAACACAAGGAGGAAGCGGGAAGAGTGGTGGAGACTGCAGTCCCTGTCACAAACAAGTGTGTGAATTGTCGAATGGGAACCTGTTTGATCTCTAGGCATTCATCCAAAAACGGGGGGTGACAAAAGAGGGAGGAAAAGGAAGCATGGAAAAGCGGGACAAATAAGTACCAACAGGGTTTGAGAGTAACTGCAGATGGCCTAACTGACAGTGAGTGGGAATGGTCTCGCATCCCAGTTACCAGACAGACATTACTGGTACCAGCTGATTTTAAATTGCAGCTGTCTCCTTGGAAACCTTATACAGGGTCACTATGAGTCAGAATCTACTTGATGGCACTTAACAATAACAATCTGCTGTTAAGAAACTCCTTTAAACAGTGATTTTCAGAACATTTTTTCTTAGACTTAAAATAGAAAGTGTATTTACCTTGAGATCCTAATGCACATGTGTGTATCTCAGAAGTGTTACTGTGTGATCAGCCAACCTCTAAATACACACAAGAGGGCTTTAAACCATTCAAGGAAAAAAAAGTCTCAGGTTTTCAATTCTATTCTGTTCTCCCCTGCTTCATTAAAATAAATAAGAAGATTATTTCAGAACCCACTGATGAGTTTTGATTTCCAGTTGGAAACTCACATAAAATTTAAGAACAAGTAGGGCGGGAATAAAATATACCAGGCAAAATAATAATCAGGCTGGGGTGTGTATGAAAAGGTTTGTGACTTAACAGCATTATTAAGGATAGTCACGTGTAATAATAAATGATGATAGAAGTAGCTATACTGTAAAGCTTGTAAATTCCTAAAGACGTTTCTCAGAATCCGTAAGTCAACAGTACTGATTCCAAAAGAACAAAGCATATCTGTCCTAACTGTGGAAAAGGAAGGATATAAGCAGTAGTAAGTAAACAACGGATGTGAGTTAATGCATTAAACTGTTCTTTATTTGGTGGTGTTATGTGCCGTGGAGTCGGTTCTGACCCATAGCAACCCTGCACAGGGTTTCCGAGGCTGTAAATCTTTACGGGAGCAGAACGCCTCTTCTTTCTCCCGCGGAACAGCTGGTAGATTTGAACTGCTAACCTTGCGGTTCACAGCCCGATTCGTAACCACTACGCTACCAGAGCTCCTTCTCCTGTAGAAATACAGAATCCTGCATATTTACCAATTACAAACCACACTTTGAAATAATCCATGGTTCAGTGTAAAAGTATCCTCTTGGCTGCCAGTCTGGCTCTTAAGTATTTGGTGCTGGACCTATGTGGGGCTCCCTCCTTTGTCCTCCAGTCCAACCCCTCTGTGTGTTTGGCTTCCTGTACTTCAGGCTCTCCTCCTTCACTGACGCTCAGCTTCTGAGGTTGTGGTGCCCTAGCGACCTCCTTGTTGCTCATTCTTCTCTTCCTTGACCTGCCTTTGGCTTTCGCTTTGTGGAGTCGGATGGATGGACTCAGGAAAACGTGTGGCATCATCGCAGTGAGCCCGGCACAGAGGCTAGCAGCTGAGCGTGGCAAGCGCTTGGGCTCAGGACCCCACACCTCACTACAGCCAGGGCAGAGGCCAGCGCTGTATCTCAGCCCCTCGCTCCTGCAGTGGCTCCTTGAATAAGCGTCATTGGTCCCCTGAATATCCAGTTTTCTATTAAACTGGTTTCCATTGAACATTGGGGGTTATTTTTGTCAGAACTCAGCTTGGGATCAGTGTGACCCTGCATATTCATGTGGCTTTCCTCCCTCCGCTGCCTGCTCGGCCTTTAATCTTTGCGAGCTTCTTGCTGACTGTAGCCACGCTGGCTTCTTTTCTTGTTCATGAACAAGCCTTGCTTATTGCCAAGCTGGGGCCTTTGAATCAGTGGTGGGACCGTACTGAATACGCCCTGCTGCCATTTCACATCCAGCACACGGCACATTGTCGCTGGCTGTCTCCATTTCTCCACACCCTTTCCTGGGATGCTCCGCCAGCTCACTCTCATCCATGCTGCGCCAGCCGTCTGTGTTATGGCTGCTGTCCTCGGCCGTACTCTTGCCTGGTACAGATCAGGCACTTGTTGAGCAAAAACAGAATGAATGAATGTGTTAATCATGCAATTGTCAAGCAAACCCACCAGCAAAACAACAGTCATACAGCAAGCACATCACGGTTGTTAATAGTCTGCCCTAACGTGATGGCATGTTCTTCTTCATATAATCCAGCTTCTCGGAACATTTGCTAAGCATACAGACTGAATAGAAGCCAGGCTGATGGGACTTTGTCTCATGTATTTTGAACATGTGATCGGGAGGGACCATTCCCTGGAGGAGAAGCGGCAGGCCAGCAAAAACGGGGCCGAGCCCCAGTGAAATGGATGGACATAGTGACTCCAACAGTGGGCTCAAGCCCAGCAACAGTCGTGAGGACAGCACAGCACTGGGCATCGGCTCAGTGGCACCTCACAACACCCATAGCAAAGATTCTGTTATTGAAACGGATGCATCCAGGAAGGTCGGCGTAAAGGGGTATTGATGTCCATGCCTACACTTTGTGCCTTTGTGCTAAATTCTGTGGAACGTGTCTGCCTTGTTGGATAAGCCTGAGACGCAGACTTGAGTCTTCAGCTGCTCCCCCCTGTGGGTGAACTAACCTTCAGCACACTTACTCGTTGTGAGTGGTCTCATGCCGGGTGACATCATGGAAGTGTCCTAGCAGATGGTGGGGAAGGAAGAGCCCTGTTGGTAGTGGCCATCCACATGGGAGCAGCAGCAAAATTGGAACCCCCTCAAGCAGTACCCAGAAGTCAATGTGAGTGAGAAGCAGAGAGTTCACATGGAGATAAAGTCAACTCTCTCTCTGCCCCTAGTGTAGGCAGGACCCCCCCAAAATATTGGGGGTCAGCATGAAAGAAATGGACCACTTCACTGAGCTAAAACAAAGACTGTTTATCAGTTCTATTTAAAGAACGTACAACTTGCAAACCGGAGAAGGTGCTGAGTAGAGGAAGAATCTCTATACTCAGTACATAAATGGCAGCTGGTCAGAGCTCTCAAGGTGTTTGTCTTAAAGGAGAGAACACGAGGGCCCATCATCCTGTAAAGACCCCATGGGCCTCCTGAGTGAGCAGAATGCACAGACCTGGACCATAGTGAGCTCCCTTCTTACGCTGGAGCTTCTACAGCTGGGAGGACGTGGGTGCCGGGGGCGGGGGGGTAAGAAAGAAGGGAACACTGACTTCTCCTGGGACTCGAGTTGCCACCTACATAGACCCTACAGTGCCATTCTTGCCCGTCTGTACCAGGAGAGAGGTGCACAAGCATTCCCGGCAATGCTCATTGTGGTACAGACTTGGAACTGTGCAGGTGAGCAGCGGCCGGCAGCAAGGGAGTGTGTGCAGTACCTGTCCAAGCACTGACTCCCACACGTTCAGAGGGCTCGATTCCTGTTACATGCATGTACCTCACCCACAAAAAATAATGAAAAAACAACGAAGACCTGATAAGAGTAAAACCATATGGAAGGTATAAAGGATACACACCAGGGAACAAGAAACACATTCAAATGGAGGGCTCGAAGCTTTTGTGGAGTTGGCAGCCCCTTTCCACAGCCCTGGAAGAAACTTAAAAGTTCTGAGGCAGTTTGAAAATCCTTCCTAGTGTGAATGTGCACCCTTCGTTGTCCCTGGGCCCTACCCAGGAGTAGGCAGGAGCGCCCTTCCCTGTCCCTACCCGGGAGCACCTTTCCCTAGTCCCTACTTGGGAGCACCCTTCCCTGTGCCTGGTCTCCACCCAGGAGCACCCTTCCCTGTCGCTGCCTGGGAGCACCCTTCCCTGTCCCTAGTGCCTACCCGGGAACACCTTTCCCTGGTCCCTACCTGGGAGCACCCTTCCCTGTCCCTGGTCCCTTCCCAGGAGCACCCTTCCCTGTCCCTGTTCCCTACCCGGGAGCGCCCTTCCCTGTCCCTGGTCCCTACCTGGGAGCACCCTTCCCTGTCCCTGGTCCCTACCTGGGAGCGTCCTTCCCTGTCCCTGTCCCTACCCGGGAGCACCCTTCCCTGTCCCTGTCCCTACCTGGGAGCGTCCTTCCCTGTCCCTGTCCCTGGCTCCTAGGAGAAGCCAGTTAGCTGAGCAGTAGACACTAGAATCTGGAGTCAGCCGAAGCACTTGGAGGTCCAGTACGATGCTTAGTTTATAAGGCAGCAACAACGGATCCTGAAATCCGGAGACATTTCCATCGAACAGGTCCTTTTTTCTTTTTGTTTTCATTGTAAAAGTGTCGATAGCACCACACTTGCCAATTTCACATGCACAATTTAGTAGTCATTACCTGTCTAGGATCACCTGCATGGGACAGTGTGGTCCCTTTTGCTGCTGCGCTGGTGAAAGGGCCCAGTGTTTTTAGATGGTGGTGTCAGGACGCCCAGGGGCCAGGTGTAAGAGTTGGTGCTCCTGGTATCAGAGAGGATTGTGGGGCTTTTTCAGAGCCCAGCTTTCCTGAGCACTGTTACCAAGATGTGGCTGTCATTCCCTGCTGAGTGTCTGCTGCCGTTCAGCTCCTGACTGTGGAAAGTCTTTTTCTTTCTCTAAGACCTTCACAGGAAAACAGAAGTGTCCTTTAAATAGAGGAAGGGGGTCCCTTTTCAGAAATGGCCACAGACAATGAATACTGACCATGCCGGACCTTGTAGATTACATTTTGATATAGATTCCTGTGTTTCTTGAAATGACTTGCCATGTGCATCAAATGAAGGAGGTGTGTTTATTTAAGGCTTTGGCAGAAGTAAACCATTGCTGTCATCAGTTGGTGCTTTCTCATTGTTAAAATGAAGTGATCTGATCCTCTTGCCAAAGAAAAGGAAAACATCTACTTGAAATGAGTTGGGAGCTACACGTGCCTTAAATTGTCCAAGGACATTTCTCTGGGGTCACAGGTTGTAGGTGTTTGGGCTTGGCCAGCTCCTTAGTGCTCTGTGTGGTGACGGCAGGCAGTGAGGAAGTGTTGGAGCTGGAGCTCACTGGGCAGCCTTGATCTCTCTGAGAGCAAAGCTGAAATGGCACCAAGCTGACAACAATCCTCTCAGCAGAACTTGAGTGTGTCTTGCACATTTGTCACAGTTGCTGTTGTTAGGTGCCCTGGAGTTGCTTCGGACTCATAGCGATCCTGGACAGTGTTTCCAAGGGTGTAAATCTGTATGGGAGCAGAAAGTCTCATCTGTCTCCTCTGGAGCAGCTGGTGGGCTCGTACCGCTGACCTTGTGGTTTGCAGTTCAGCACTTATATGTGGAGCCACCGCATTTCCTTTTTCACCATTAACATGAACCACAAGAATTGTATTAATTTTTGTTTACATTTTTTTCTTATGAGCCAGCTATATTTTTTCAAAGTCAAATAAGACTCTTAGAAAAAAAATTTAAAAGATAACTATCTTTATAACCTTTGGGTAGGAAGAAACTAAGATGTTTCCTAGACAAAACATGAAAAGCATTTCCTAAAGCTAAGGAGTAAATAGGCCCGCATAAGAATCAAGAAGTGGATTTCCTCAGGAGATGCTGTGAAGAAAGCGAAGGACCAAGCAGCTGGCCAGAGTGGGGTCCCACTGTATCTACCAAGACCTGGCATCCGGAATGTGTGGGAATCACCTACAGATCTATTATGGGGGCAGACGGTGAGGAGAACAGGCAGCCAGTCCAATAGAAAAACAGTGGAGGAAACCATGAACGGATGCTTCACCAAAGACGGTATCCACCTGGTCAGTAAACATGAAAAAGTTCTCAGTTTCATGAACCCCTAAGGAAATGAAAATTGCCAGTTGTCCCAATTTTAGTCACAGCGTCCCACCAGTGAGGAAGAAAGCACAAATATGACAGGACTTCAGAAAGTCCATGGGCAAATGGAATGAAGGGATAATGGGATTTTTTCCTCACAAACTTTTTGAAGCCCCCTCTAACCAAGTGGAAGGAGGTTAAAGAGCAGTGTGCCCACCCCCACATTGCTGGGACAGTGGAAACTGGCACGCTGGTGAGGCGTGTCCACATGGGTCCATTCAGATCCTGCAATTCTGCACTGAGGCCCGTACCCAACAGAAGAAGTGTGTATGTGCTCATCGGAAGACAGGGCTAAGAGTGTCCAGAGCGCTGTCCTTTCTGATAGCCAACAAGAGAGATGGCGGCTAAGAGTGTCCAGAGCGCTGTCCTTCCTGATAGCCAACAGGAGAGATGGCGGCT